CTCTATGACCCCAGCAGATTTATATACAATTGTTATCACACAGTGAGCAGATGAAGAAAGCCATGTCTCGCTGACAGCCTGATGAATCCAATAGCTTGTCAACAGCTGACGGAGATCACTAAAGCTGGGCAGAGAGTGGTAGCAGACAGGACTGATCCATGAAAGTAGGTGAGCGCACATATCAGGGCTGATCCAGGCAAGATGGCTGAATAGACAGTGAGCAGACAGGCAGAGAGGGTTCAAGAGAGATGGAAAATGGAGATGCTGAGAGCACTACCCAGGTCAGAAGGTAGCTCAATGACAGAGTAATGGAGCAGTGGAAGATCAGGATTTAAATATCCCGGGCTTGATGGAATTAGCACCCATTAACTGGAGGCAGATGGTTGGGACAATCAGCCGAGCGAGTCTGGAGAGTCCTCGTGCAAATGAGCCCGGTTTCAGAGGAGACTGAGGAATGTGAGCCCTGGATTGCCTGGGCAAAATAACAATGACATAACAAGTAAAATATGGGCTGAAATGTCATTTTGTCTGCTGTGAATGCTGCATTAGGACTGAATTTCATGAACAGAATATCTTGATGACAACAGAATAATGGAATTAAAATATAATATAATTACTTAAACAGTATGTTGTTTTGTTTTTCAATATGTTATTTGGTCCTCTGGTTTCTTAGTATTCTTGCTATATTGTTGACAAGAAAGACAGAAATGGTGAAGAAGTTCAAGATGGAGCTTGAGTTATTTGCACAATTGGCGGCAGATCAGAATACACTTTGGAGACACAACCACATTAGATCACCACCTGCACAATAAACATGACATGACTGGAATGCATTGTGTTGGAAGCTAGGTCTCAAAAATGGATGGTAAGCAAATGAGAACCTATTTTGTCTATTTTAAATTGTGAAACAAAGAGATGTCTTCCAGTCTAAAGGATAAATAAAAAGAAAACCAGTATTTTCTCCAAATACAACATTCCTTGCATATCTCCTAGAGTTTGAAAATTATCTGCACAGATTATGGTTTCCTGAAGGAGAAGACTTTCTTGCAAAGCAGTTACTTCTCCAATCTACTGTTCCCTCATAATTTTGTCCATTTGTTTCTCTTTTCCTTTGTTAAAGATTATATTGACTTAATCATTTAACTGAGAAGTGGTTCAGTCTAAGCTAAATACTAGTACCTCTGTTTGATCACTTGGATCTTTGCATGAAATTAGATGTTCAGATAAAGCAACATATTTCACAAATATTCAGTGCCCAATTTATCTTCCATTTTGAATTAGGTGTTTTTGATGGAAAACATTTAATTGCCCCCAATATACAATACTATTTTAAGTATTTTTGTTTTTAAAAGTGCCGTAGTAAAAAGTACATGGCTCTCAATGAAGATATTACAGTGCAGTACAAGGCCATCTGTAACACTTTTGTTTCAAGATCTTAACATCAATGGTACACACTCTATAATGGTTAAGATGCAGATTCAAAACAGCCTGGTCATTATAGTGTCCTGCTTACTGTTGATGCAGTATGTACAGCTGACCTAAAACTACTCAAATGTCTTTTTGCTGGATTATGTTACCCATCTAATTATTTCTGGCATTGACCTGCAGTAGGCAGTTTCTTTACAACTACTGTGACAACTACTAATATGTGTCATCATATAGTAAACCATTGCTCAGGTTCATGGTTTACTTTGTTCAGATTAAGTGTTCAGAAAGAATAAAGTAATATATTTGTAGTTTACCTTAAACTGAATACACATCCTAAGTATTTTCAGCTAGCATTTTTGGAATGTTCCTAAGATCGGTAGATAACAAGCAGGATTTGGGCTCTCCAACACCCCAAACCAGGCCACCAGAAATTACTTTAGGTCCATCTTGACAAGTCCAGTGAAGAAGTACCTAATTTGACATCTCTCAGTCTGCAGTTCTAAAAGTTATATCAGTACTTGGAGCCCAGATATGCAGTAGGCCACCTGTCATAAATCCCCTGTAAGGGTCAGAGTTATCCACCAATAAAGATCTGCACGTGATGACATCACAAACTCTCTCCACAGCAGTTTTTAATGTTCTCTGACACCCTGGCCCAATGACAGCTGACTAACAATATTAGTGTAACCACAGCCATCTAAAATGCATTTGGACAAACTCAGCTTCAGGTAATTGCCAGAAAAACATTTGTAAACCAGAATTCTGCCCAAGACTTCCCTGCAGAAAGAAAAGTCATATGACAAACGTCCAATAGCAACTTCCCCTGATCAATGAAATAATACAGTTGGAGGTTTGTTGACACCACTGAATATCAACATATTATCAACTCAACAGCTACAAAATATGAGAGTGAGCGGGCTTTCTACATCGAAGTTACACTGGTGGTCACAACCACACTCTCAGACTGCATGCATGTTCCATTGAATAAGCTGTCTTCAGTGCAAGGCTAAACATGAAACCCTCCTCTCCTCCTCGTTCTCCTGCATTAACAGGACATTGTTTGGCCAAGAGCCAACAGACTCTGACTGGACATGCTACAGTATGTCATGGACATGGACAACCACATTCAGCTATTCCTTTCCCTGTGGGACTTTTAAGAAATCTCATCAGGACTGCATCTGGCCAAGCTTTCTAATGTGGATTAGTATATATTCCACGTTCAAAATATAAAACTAGAGAGCTAATCTGTTATTCCAAACAAGTATGCATTTTATATAGATTATAAAGAGTATTTGGGAATGCTAATGTGTTTGTAAGAGTATTATAGACAGTGTCTTTTTAACCCTGTGGTATTAGTATCTTTTGTAATTCCGGAGCAATCGATCAGCTATTTGTATCACAGTTGATTCAAATATATAAATACTTTTGTATGTCTTTGTCATAATCTGTGACAGGAAAATTCCTAGAAAGTTAAAGTGCAAAATGTACAAGACTGTGATTAGACCTGTACTACTATATGGAGCTGAATGCTTGGCGCTTGGAAAGAGGGAAGAGAACTTGTTGAGAAGAACTGAAATGAGGATGTTGAGATGGATTCTACAGATTTCAATGAAGGATAAGATCAGAAATGAAGAAATCCGTAGACGATGTAGGGTGGTGGATGTGGTTGAGAAGATGAGAGAGGCGAGGTTACGGTGGTATGGACATATCATGAGGAGGGACGTTGAGGAAGTAACAAAGAGGGTAATGGAATTTGAGGTGGAAGGTAACAGAAGAAGAGGCAGGCCTAGAAAGAGATGGATAGATTGTGTGAGAAAAGATATGGAGGTATGTGAAGTGAGTGAGGAAGATGTGCTCGACAGAGACAAGTGGAGAAGAGCAACCAAAGCAGCTGACCCCAGGACAGTCTGGGACTAAGACTGTGAAAAAGAAGAAGAAGATGTCTTTGTCAATTTCAGATTGTTTCAGTAAATTGAACCCATCGAATCACTACAGTGTGTTACAAGTGTATATTATGCATTAGTATGGTATTGCATACATAAGATAGTGTATTTAAGCAAATGTTATCTTTCTGCCCCTGTATTGATCAGAATCTTCTAAAATGTCAGCACAGCAGCTCAAAGTAAGCAAAACATGAGCAGCCAATATGAAGTGCTGTAGTAGCTAATAAATGTAAATGTGATTAGAAAATAGTTAATCTGATTTAAATGTATCAGATCCTTAAACAATAAAAAAATATCAGACCCCATTGACTGACTGTCAGATATTCCTTGTCTTTGACATCATTAGTGTCTCTTTACACATCCACAATGCTAAAAGGTTACTTTTTTGTACTAAGAAATTCAGATCCCTTAGGAATAAATTACAAAAAAAAATGCCCAGGGTGACAATAAATCAGCATAGAATTATAAAGAAAGAAAAACTCGAATTAAAAAGTTTGGAACAGTTAAAATGTCTAAGACTTTTGCACAGTATGTATCTGTGTTTATACAATAAAACAAAACAATAAATGTGCAGCTTAAAAGCTTTCCAGGAGAAGTCACTGGCTCCTGTAGTATTGCAAACAGTTGTTTGCACAACCTTCCCTCTAATGTTAAAGCTCCAGCATAGTAGAGACAGCTCCTGGAGAGTCTGGCAGCACTAGGATCAACAGCCCCCAGCAGCGATGCTGTGCTTTCCCACAGTGACGGAGAAGCTTCTCCTGTCCCTGGCTGACACACATCAGACATCACCCCCCTTTACTGCTTACAGGAGAAAAGAGGTGATTTGCTGTGAGAAAGCATCTTCAGACATGCTAGGAAGCAATAAAATGGTATGAGCGACATTTAAATGCTACAAATGAGTAGTGGAACTCATAACATTCGCTGGGTGTTTAAAGCCTTACAATTTAATAATAGCGTTCTTTTCCACAGCAGGAGGCAGAGATGTACCTGCAAGTATTCCTAATCACCTTTCTTAGGCAGAGCATGGTCTTTCTGACAGCGAGTGTGTGCAAAATAATAGGCCTTTTCCGCCTTCCTCATACTCTTCTGCTTTGTCTTTCTTTCTTCTTAAATTTAAAATTCAAGGAGCTTTATTGGCATGACTGATGAATTATAGTGTTGCTAAAGCAATTTGCAAAACCTTTAGAAACAATGTTCTTTTTATCGCTCTGTCTTAACTCCTGCTTTTCCAGATTCTCTGGCTCTTTCTGTCCCCTCCTTCTCATGCTCCTCTAAATGATCACCAGATACGTTTTTACTGCAGAACATGTTGATTGCTTTGTTAAAATATCAGAAATAAATGTCACTTCAGAGATCAACTGGTGAATGAAAAGCTTCAGTTAGTACTGTTGTGTGTTGATGCTGTATTCTGGGATACTCAAGGTGCTGATCTGTGCTTCACACCAAAACACAGCTGTGGCAGTGAATAGTTTTAGAGACCTGTAGGAATCAGAGGAAACAGTAAATTCCATGAATTGTCTGTAAATGTGTGATTAGAAAATTAGTTTTTGTAGGACTTATATATATATTGAAATTTAGGTATGAAGTAACTGTAGTAACACTTCCCTCCTTTGTCTGTCTTACCTGCAGGCCACGGACAATGACTTTGGGACCTTTGGATCAGTGCGGTATTTCTTCAGCGATGAGCCTGACCAGTAAGTGTCAGCCAGGGAGCTGGGTCACTACTCATCCTTCCTCTGTCAGAGAGAGGAGGAGAGATGAGAGAGACAGAAAGAAACAATCAAACAAAGACTGAGCTGTTGTGTCAGTGCAGGAGCTGTGTAAGCTGTGATGTATATATAATTGCTGTTTTGTCTCTGCAATTGATGTGTTACCCATGTGGTTGCTGTGTTGGCAGCACAGTAGCTGTTTTGCTAGCCCAGTGAACATCTAGCCGGGGCTCTCTGCAGGTTCACCGTGGACCAGGACACAGGCTGGGTGACGCTGAGCGGCCGACTGGATTTCGAGCTGACAAGACGCTACACACTCACAGTCATCGCTCGGGATGGGGGAGGCGAGGAGACCACAGGGCGTGTGCGCATCAACGTCCTGGATGTCAATGACAACGCGCCCATCTTCCAGAAGGAGGCATACCTGGGTTCTCTGAGGGAAAATGAGCCAGCAGTGCAGCAGGTGGCCCGAATTAGGGTGAGACTCACGGCCAACTATTCTGATTTGAAAAACCATTTGTAAGTGCACAAATATTTGTAAACTAAAAGGTGCTGTATGTTCCTGGAGAAGTTCGGGGTCCCAGGGTTCTGTCACAAAGGGCTGTGCCTGAGCAGGACAGGTGGACTTCAGTAATGGGCTCCAATCTTTCTTTTTCTACTGAACAGCAGATTACATAGGATAACATTATCCACCTCAACAAATTAATTTTTTAACCATTTTTATAAAGGTTAAAAATAAATATAAATAAGAGTAATTAATGGCTCCACGTTTATATTGATTACAGCTTTCCCAAAAAAAGCAATTACGGCCCTGGATTCAGTGTCCTTTACAGTGGGCTGAATGGTTCACTTGCTTTATTTCATTAAGCAAAGGTAACCTTAAACGGCCACATTATTAATATCAGCTGTGTGAGTAATATCAGGCAGCCCTGGAATTGTGCTGTCAGCACATTACACTGAAGCGTAGCACTTCATAAAGAAAAAAATAAGAGGAAAGAAAAGTCTTTTATCCCTCTCCTCCCCCTTTCCTCCTGAGCTTCTGTTCTCTTTCCTTCCCTCTTCCCCTCTGTTCCCCTGGCTCTCACACTCCCTCCCCACGGCCTGGTATTTAGCAGCCCGAGTGCCTGGAGGAAGAGAGGATTTAATGAAACATCTGCTGAATGGCGACAGAGGAGCCCTTGGCGAGGAGAAAGACAGAGAGAGAGGCACACAGGAGAGGTGCGCTCAGAGCAGCATCTTTTCTCTCTCTTTCTCTCTCTCTCTTCCTGTCTGCCTCTGTTTGTCTTTGTCACTCCCTCCCTTACTCTCTCTTGTTCAAAAAGCCACATTGGTGCAAAGAGCTGCTGCAGTCAACATAAGTGCTTTCATATTGTTGTTTTATTCATTTGTTAATGAAGGATAACATAAAAACTTAAGAATGTATCACCCACTTTTTTGGATGGTTTGGAGAAATCCCTGAGGGGGCCTGCTTCAGACCTAAAACAGTTTGATGTTTTGGGATGACAAGAACAGCTAAAAATGTATTTTAATTGTTTGAGTTGGCTGAGCTCATCTCTTTCTTCCCTTACATTTTAACCCTCTCCCTCTGTTTTTCCTCTCCCTCTGCTTCTCCCCTTCTTGCCCTTCAATGCACTCTGGTCTCTCTCTCTCTGCATTTCTTTCCCTTCCTTCCTCCCAATACGATATTATTCCATACTTCTTTCCCCCTTCTACCTCAATCTCTTCCTCTCCCACTTTCAGGCAACAGATGAGGACTCTCCCCCCAATAACGTCATCAGTTACTCCATCATCTCAGCCTCTGCGTTTCCAAACTACTTTGACATATCCATCATTGAGGGGTATGGAGGTAAGATTCTATCCCCACAGCCCCACTTCTTTCCAGCTGGGCAGCTGGCTAGCGCTACTCAGTTTGTACTTGTTGATCCAAGCTGTAAAGTTACTTGATTATCCAGGAACATTGCTTCCTGTTTGAACTCTTAAGTCAAGTCATATGTACTTTAGAGAGATGAACAAACTTTGTTCAAAGTACAAAAATCCTGTATGTTTGAATATGTTGGTGAACCCTGGCCCTGGCCTCCAACTTATTACAATTTTTAAGAAGGACTCTTAATTGAACTTATTCATGTGTAACTTGAGAAAAATGGAAATCACACATTCCACAAGTACTTGTTTCCAAGTATAAATCTTTGTAAGGGGACAGCATTAGCATTAAGCTAATACAGACTTACGTGAATGACCCTCTTAAACACCTCAGCAAGCAACAGCGACCCTTCTAGTATGCCTCCTCAGAATGAGACCCAGAGTACACTCATAGATAATCAAGATATTACTTTTTTATTTCACGGAGACTTCCAGCATAGCTTGAATTTTTACTTAAAACACAATAACCACACACCTTGCTTGCTGCTGTCCTGTAACTGACCTCTGTCTGGCCTGCATACTTGTCTGTGTGTATCTTCTCAGTGATCAGCGTGACTCGGCCGCTGGACTACGAACTGGTCCCTGGGGGCTTCATCTACCTCATGGTCATGGCAAAGGATGCTGGGGCACCCCCCCTCAACAGTACTGTCCCTGTCACCATTGAGCTGTTTGTGAGTATCCTGTTCTTGGCCAAGGCATGCATCCCAATAAATAATACCTTCCTGATGAGCTCTAAAAGACTGCTGGAGAGAATAGCCAATATTCTTCTATTTATCAGCTCTCAGGATATTGCCAAATAAATTCAGGTTATTTTCTAGAATTAAAAAAAATTATAAGAAAGCAAGACATACTTATCTGTCACAATTCTCTGGCTTTAAGATCATAATTTAGTGTTACACTTCTGCTGAAGACTGAACAGTATATACAATTAGCACCTTTCTAATGCATAACCTATCAAACCAGCAGGGGTCAGCACCTAGAGTGTGCCGATCGACCTAGAGGTAGTTCTTTCTACCTCCACTCACTTCAAATTGTACTCTGCGTCGCATGATTATACAGCACATGGACACATTTTGCTTAAAGAAGTTTAAAACAAAAGTTCAGGAGGAGAATAAATCCTAATCTCATCCACTTCCACCTATCTCCATATAAATCACATGGGTTTTTTTTCCTACACGGTTGTGTGTTTCGTTTTTGCATTTCGCCTTTGCTCTTGCTAGAGACAGACCCTACTGCCCAGCGTTCCTTGGCACACCCTTTTCTTCCACCAGCTCCAAGGAACCCAAACTCCACCTCTTCCACCGGACTCAGCCAACATGTTAAGCACACGCACCTTGTTCCCCAATTAAGGATTCTGCTTTGGTGTTGTTGGGTTTTTATTCATGCACCTTCCTCGCCAACGCTCAAACTCTGTTCTCCAGAGCAGCGTGTCCCAAAGTTTTCTCTTTCTTTGATCAATTTGGAAATGCTACTAAAGCTTCCTTTAAACCCTTCAGTTCCCTTATGTGTTCAAGCTCCTAAGTGTAGCCTTAATCATATTCTTTCTTTAGTTTTTGTAACTTAAGAATTCCACATTGGCATTATGAGATGTCTTTCATTTTTTGGTGATTCCAACAGCCTTCTAACAGAGCTTTAGCCAGGGGATTTACCCTAATAAGCCTCACTATTCAAATCTTGTCTCTTCTCCCTCTGGTTAAGATTTGACCAAACTCCTGAATATCAAATAGTGATGTATGAAAAAGAGAATGTTTGGCTATACCACCCAAACTGTTGTAAAAGAGCTGTAACTCTCTTTAGTGGAGAGTGTGATTCTTGATGTCAAATTATATTTTATCAACATTTTGTTTAGTAGAATTTGAGGCAGAATTTGTGATAATGTAATTAAATTTTATTGAAAACTGTTAATTGAAGTCATGTTCTGTGCTTGGATGAGCAGTACACTAAAGGTGAACAGGCATAGGAACAAAATGCATGCAGTTGAGGGGTTAACAAAATGAACTATGCCCAATTAAAACACCCCCCACACACACACACTCACAAACAGCTACAACATGCTAGTATGCTGAACAAATCCTCACACAGCAACAGACACATGCACACTCAAGTGCTCTAACAGTCCTAACTCATATATGTACACAGGCACGCCTTCAGATCTCCCCCCTGTCTTGACAATTACAAATGGTGTTAACGAGACGCTCTGCTGCATCACCCCTCCCCAAGCATGCTGCCTGCTCTACAAATTACATTAATTTACAGTGCTGAACACAGCATCATTAATGCAGAAGGGGCACTGATTCGCCAAACTCAGCAGGGATTCACATTTATAAATTCAATGTTGTTTTTTCCTGCACTTCTCATTAATTTATTTTTTCAGTTTCATACAGTACCATAATGTATCGCAACTAGATCTAAAAACAGCCTCCACATGTCAGGAGTTTCCATGAAATAACTTCCATGTGCCAACACTTTCCATGAACCAGACTCTGTGTGCCAGGTTTTGGAATGCACATCATGAAGCTTGGAAATATGGACTTTGAAACAGAAAAGTTCTTCAATATCACCTCAAACCAGTTTCATGTTCTGATTGTGCTGTAACTTGGGACTGCACTGGGCTCTTGTGTAACATTTTTATTAGATTATTCTGAGACTTCTGTGGATTAAATGAGTACAGGTCTCAGTAACGAGAAGTGTTCAGTTGTGGAAATCTTCCCTAAACTGTGTTAAGAAACCCTTACAGGACAAGTGCTACAAGTACATCATTGCCTGTCATTATGTGAGCAGTACAACCCCTCCAGATACTGTGCATTCTAACAAGATGCCATGTCCAGGCATGCCCAGTGTACTGCAGGCTGTCAGACAGTCAATGTTCCTTCCTAACAGCTCTATCTGTTTACCCCCAGGATGAGAATGACAACCCACCCACCTTCAGCCAGCCTTCCTACATCATCACTGTGCCCGAGAATATCATTGCAGGTACACTAAATACTGGACAGTGTGAAAGCTTTTACCTGTTATGTGGATGGTGCACAGTGTGAATGATGGATATTTTGGGATGCTGCTCCTTCTCTCTTTTCCTCCTTCTCTCTCCCTCTTTAACAGCTTACTTGCTTTCTTCAAGCTCTCTGAGGCACTTTCTAATTCATATTTCAATATAACATTCTGTCTTTGTTTGCCAGAGCTTCTCCTCAGCTTCCCCTCGTGTCGTATTGCATCCCTGACTGCCTCTTCTCTTTCCCCCTCTTCCTCTCCCAGGGGCAACAGTGCTGTTCGTCAATGCCACAGACAAAGATGCATCACGAGAGTTTGGCCAGGCCTCCCTCATCTACTCCCTGGAGGGATCTTCACAGTTCCGCCTCAACACACGTTCCGGTATGAGCTGAAAAGGCGTGTCAGAGATGGGGAAAGATAACTGGAGAGGTTTTTAGGCTGTGGAAGGATAGGACTGGAGAGGGATGTTATGGGTAGGGATGGAGAAGGTGAGAGCTGTGTCAGATGTGGAGGGAAGTACTGGAGAGGGGTGTTATGGGTAGGGATAGAGGAGAGAGCTGTGTCAGATGTGGAGGGACGGGACTAGAGAGGGGTGTCGGGGGTAGGCGTTAAGAGGGATGGGATAAAGGTTTGGAGAGATGTGTCAGAATAATGCTTGGAGAGGGGGTAAGGATTGAGGGTTGAACAGGGGAGTCAGAGGTGGGGGGAAGGGCTGGAGAAGTATATCACAGCAGGGTTGGAGAGGTGTGTCAGATGGGGAAGGAGGTCTAGAGAAGTGTGTCAGTTTAACACTTGCAAAAGAACTAGAGAGGGGTGTCAGGAGTGGGGAAGAAAAGCACAGATGAGTATTGAGCAGGAGAAAAGAGGGCAGAAGAGGTTGTCAGGGCAGGAGTGTTTAGGTAAAAACATTAGGAGTGAAAAGAGGATGCCGTAGAACCTGGGAGGAGAATGGAAGGATAGGAATTCTTGAAGTTAGTGTTGTTTTAACAGCCTCAGAAAACATGTTAACATAACATTTAGTAACTGAGTCACTCAGAGCCCAGCTGCAAGAAAACATAGAAAACACTGTGTCTGTCTTCAGAACTGCACAGATTATGTGCTCCTGTGAGGCAGCCGGGAGTGTGGAGTGCACTGTGTGGTGAGTGTGTCAAGGCCATGAGTTGTGTGTCAGAGTGAGTGGCAGGCTGGGGGCAGAGAGGTGTCACCCTAATCCCACATCATGCCCTCTGTGTCTCAGCACCTCTAATAATAGCCCAGCGCCCACGTCTACCCTTGTCCTCACTTGCCTCATCTCCCTTCGTCTCACCACAGGTCATGCAAAGCAAATGTGAAGTGCCAGGGACGTTAATTAGCACCCCGTCGGTTTGGAATTAATGTTGCAGTAGAGCATAGGGAGCAGTGGGGCTGAAACGCAATCCTGTATTTAACACTCTGCTAATAATAATAATAACCTGCTCCAGTCTCTTTGCGGGTGGGGGAGTGGTGCAGGGAAGCTCAGAGCTTTCCTGTCCTGCCTGAGTCATGGACAGAAAAATAGAGGGTCAGAGTGCAGGTAAGAAGGGAGCTTTTATTCTCTTGTTTTCGGCGATGGGATACATAAAATACTAATTGCTTAATTATTCTTTTTCATTGCAAACCCAATTCAATTTTGAAATCATGAAATGTCTTAAACTCTGCAGAAATTACACAAAATGAAGCATGTTGGCGCAGTCCACCAGTAAGCTGATCCTCAGGATTATGTATCATTTGATATGTCATTTGATATGTCGTGAGCTCCACAGGAGCCAGCAGGAGAGTTAGTGCCAATTGGAGGAGTGATGCATGTTTTCACCGATACAACTACAAATCCTGTTGTGCCCAATCCCAATCCTAACATGACCCAGGCTCGAGCAAGCAACCTCTGTTCCACAGAATTGTCTCTACACCTTAAGCAAACACCTCTACTGGCTGAGCAAATTGGGAATCCCATGAGACATGGATTTTTCATCATTTTTATGTATGAATTGCAGGGGAGATCACAACCACTGCCCTTTTGGACCGAGAGATGAAATCAGAGTACATCCTTATCGTTCGAGCTGTTGATGGGGGTGTGGGCCCAACTCAGAAAACCGGAATTGCCACGGTAACAACAACCTGTTTTTTACAGTACTAGCTAAAGTTCTGATCATTCACTGCCATGAGAGGACAGGTATGCCATGGGATGCTATAGCACGCAGAGGGTGGCACTGGTCTGAAGTGTCTCCACCTCTGTGGCATGACTGCCACTGCTCCCTTCCTGTACTATGAATGAATACATAAGGTTTTTCTTTGTCTGCTATGCCAGACTTTTGAATACACAATCACATACTGTACATATGTAATAAAATATGACAGGAAATGTATATATTGTATATATGTACTATACCAAACCAAAGGAAATCAGTTTATTTAATGTACTTGTACATGGGACATCTGGAGGGTTATTGGTAATCCAGATCATTAAGACCCTTTATGCTTTTAAAAAATAAATAAGCTTTTTTTAATTAGATGCCTTGTCCCCACTGAAGAGTCCCTTTGAGAATCCTTTACTAGGGGCATGAGTGAAGACAGCAAATTCTAAAGGATAGCACAGTAATTTAATGTGTAATATGGTCTCAGCTGTCCATATTCACATGTACAGCACGCCAATACAAAGGTATTTGTATTAAATTGTGCTCAATGAGTTATTCAAGTCTTACAATAAGTAAGATACTGTATCATTGCAAGTCAGTATATACTAGCAGTATAAAAGATGCTCCTGACTGATGACTGAAAATATAGTTATCTATACAAATGTTGTGGGGCCTTGAGGGTTGACTTATCTCATCTAATAATTAGTCTGATTAAGTAAATGAGTGCTGGACTTGTAATTCTCCCGCACAAACATGATGCCTTGACAGATAGACATTGCATACGTGTCTCAACATAAGCGGGGTAGGAAAGTGTCATGGGAAGACTGAAGAATCGCACGGGCAAGATTAAGTGTGGGTGGCATCGCTATGCATGTGGTATACCCTCAGAGAGCGGTGTTGTGCTGAGTGCCTCTCCACCTTCAGGTCAATATCACTCTGCTGGACATCAACGACAACGCCCCCGTGTGGACAGGTGAGCCATATGAGGTCAACGTGGTGGAGATGAGCCCTGCAGGCACGGATGTCATCACGGTGAGGAAAACAATCCCTTGCTGCTGCACGAAGCTTGGCCCTTGTGTGAACACTGCTATCTGAAGTTTTGGTCATGTTGATGATCGATTGCACCTGAGTTGTGTGCTGTGGTAGACGATGGTGAATAAAATGGAGCCCAGTGCAATCTTTTTGTAAACTATGATGCCTACTGGGAAGCAATGGAAAAACAATGTCAATGTTTAAAGTCAACCACAGTAAAACATCAAATGTAAGAATCTACTGTCTAAAATTTTCACAAGGGAAGGCTTTGCTCTAGTAGTTCAGAGACAGCAGTGAAAGGTTGCTGTCCTTTTCCCATAATTATATAGCTCACTTGAGAAATTATAATACTTTTAAAGTTTGACTGTAGCATGAGACAATCTTGCTATGGAAAATTGGTCTGCTTTTCAAATAAGCATAAGGGGAAAGCCAGGTGGAGTTAATTGGAAAAGTGAGAGCATGTTTTGTACAGAAGTTACTTTGCTTTTGCTTTTGCTCTTTCCAAAAGCTTTGGAAAAAATCATGTTAACATGACCTAAAATAGCTGAACCCTGAGTCAGACTCTATGACTATCACTCCATGAAAAGGGATCTTCTGATCCCTCCAGTAGACTGGCAAAAGAGATAACCTTCCCTGCATTACTGATACACAGCCCCACTAATTAATTCTTGATTATTCATTCATTTATTACTAAGCACTAAACATAATTAACTCCAATTAGGGATTAAAATGTAGCTGCAAGCTAAATACATGTTTAAATACCAGTATGAAAAACGTGTGTAGCAGCAGTGTGGAGTGTCCAGGATAGCAGCACAGTTTACTGCTGAAAATCTGACTGTCTAGGCTAACATTCTCATCTCTCACCGGCCTTTCTCTCTGGCATAATATTCCTGCAATATTCAGGGTGACCGTACTAGCTGTAGTACACCATTCTCAGTTATCATTGATGACACAAACAGTAAAACGTTTTGCAACCTGAGCAAAATTCCACATGACTAAAAACTCCACTTTCTGTTGATTTGTTTGATCTTCCTCAAAACTACAACTAAATGGAACTAATACTCATCCATTTTTTGAAAGCCTGTTTATCTAAAACCATTAGAGTGACCATTGGGAACAAATCTCTCCCTGCAGGACTCCCTTTAGAATTGCTCCTAGCTTCTCTGCACTGGAAGCGCATCTTTCTCACTGTATTTCTGTCTCTGTCTTTCCTGGCAGTCAGCTGTTCTCAGTGGTGACTCTGTGCCCTGAACTGACCCCATCTCCAGCCTGCCTCATTGCTGTGTGTTTGTATTTGCTCCCGTATTCAGACCCTACCTTCTTCTCTCTCATAGGTCTGAGTAGTCCAATACAGCCTTGACTGTTAGTAATTAAGCACCCAAAGAACTTTGATTCACGTTGTTCTACTAATGAGCAATTAAAACAGCTCGGGGTACAGACATTAATTTGAATCCAATTAATAATTAATCAACTCTTGGAACTGAGTTTTTAGCTTTTTTTGTTTAAAATTTACATTTGTGACTGAACAAATAAATGTGAAGTGCTCCCTTTGGGCTATTTGCCTGAATTGTTTCAACAAATTTTCTCTGAGAATGTGCTATGAGGTGGTGAAGAGCTGCCCTCTGCCTGCAGCAGGCCTTTTAACATAGGCCAGTACTTTCCTTTAAAAACCAGAAAATAGAAGACAAACCAGTTTTCTGTCAGTTACCATATCATTAACAAAATAAAATAAATGTTATTGGGAAAATTGAAAATTAGCCTAAAATACGGTAATAGGTCATAATATGTAACATGTTATAATCATGTAATTCAAGAGCACACTTCTACCAAAGTGACACTAATATGTCAATGTTCTTGGAAAAAAATATGATGACAAATTTCATAAAGACACCACAGGAACATTAGTATCTTTTAAATTTGAAATACGGTCAATGAAAGCATCCCTGCATTCTAAAGTCTACTCTGCACAAATCTTAGGCATTTCTCTGATCGCTCAGCAATCTTATAAACTGAATGTGATAGCAGAGTTTTTTTGCAAGACAATAGCCTCAAAAGAAAATTAATTTGTTTGCCTTTGGTTTCATAGCAGTACAATTACACACCACGCTAGGACTTGGACGGTTGAGGTTGTGTACTTTTCTGAGAAACTCATTCGGCACTCTGCTTAAGACCTTCATCTGTTTTTAAGGTTTAGAGTTAAAGGGAAACTGCAAGACAATGTTTACATTTCTGGGTTATAATGAATCAGCAATTATGAGGGCATTTCAAATCACAATGAAACTGCAAAGTACACAATAACGTGTACAACCTCCAAAGTGTCTCTTCACAAAAGAGACAAATTTTCAATGTATGCAGAGGATCATATTGCTGGAATTGTCTGAGATTCAGAAAGAGACAACAAAACTTCCGTTGACTCAAAAGTGGCCTTATTACATTGTAAACATGCTTTAGACCAAGCAAAAAATGTAATCCCCGTTCTGAGAAATTGGAACCACAGTTCCCCTTTAATTCCTGTAGGCAGGTAAATTTGAAAAGAAAGAGATTCCTGGGGTCCCAGGATCCTGGCACTTTATATTGGCTGCAGCCTCCCATGTTTGATCCCCAGTTGAATACATACAATTTTATTAACAGCTTCTGAATATGGTTACTTTATCTTCACAGCACTTTTTATCCAGTAAGTTATTCTGTTTTTTTCAGGCTTTCCTGCACAGATGCCCATCTCTAGCTTTCTGCTTCCATCCTCTGGCCAGTTCTAACCACTTGTGTCTGTTGGTTTTGAGATTTCTCCTTATCTTGGCGCAGTCACTGGCCAACTGCAGGAAATTCAACTGTAATGTGATGGACTCACCAGCAGAGTGCAGTTTTAGTTTTTAGTTTTGTCATGCTTCCAAATTAGATCCAAATTATTTTCCTCCTTCTCTTTCTCTCTTACTCTCCCATCATGTCTCTCTTGAACTGTCCCTCCCAATCTTTGTCTTCACCTCTCTATCCCTTATGCATCTTCCTTGCATCCCTGCATCTCTCTATCATCCCACTTCCCCATTTTTACCATCTTTCTCTGTCTTCTTCCTTCTCTCACTCTTTCTCCTCTTACCTGCCTACATTCACACTCACCCCATGCCCAGGTGCTGGCAGTAGACCCTGACAGGTCGGAGAATGGAAGTGTTGTGTACAGCATCAGCCCCCCCAACAGGTTCTACACCATCAACACCACAACAGGGAAGATCCGGACCAGCGGCGCTGTGCTGGACCGTGAGAGCACACAGCCTGGAGACACGCAGCTCATGAGGACCATCATTGTCTCTGCCACTGACCGTGAGTCCATCTGCACGTACAGCATGTCAGCAGCAGCAGTAACTGTACATCCATTTCTGTGTTCCAATAACAATTGTGTGTGCAAACTGCAAATTTAACTTATCTGCAGGATACCACAAGTTCTATTTTTTATATATATACCTTGGGACCATCCAGTCATGACCCAACTACTGTAGCAAGTGACTTCTCATAAAGTCTGATGGCAGTCTAAGCAAGAAGATCAGTCTCAGGGTGATGCAGGCAGTGGTTTAGCCATGTTATGCTGCCACTCACAGGTGGGACCCCACCTTTACGCTCCTCAGCCAGCACCACAGTGCTGGTCAACTTGCTGGACCTCAACGACAATGACCCCACCTTCCTGAACCTGCCATTCAATGCTGAGGTGCCAGAGGGGCTTCCTATCGGCTCATCTGTGTTTAAGGTGAGGAATGAAGTGTCATAAGCCTGATTATATGTGCCTCTTGTAATAAAGGTGTGAGAGCTATGCAGCTCTACCCTCTGACCTCTGTTCTCTTTTAACCTACAGTATGCCATCCCCCTCCCACACCCTCTCCCTTCTCTCCCCCATTTTCACTCTCTCCCCTTCCTCTCTTCCCCCTCTTTCTCTCCCCTTCTCTCTCTCTTCCTGCAACCCTTTCCCTTGTCGTCTTCCACTCCTTCCTCTCTGTTCCCTCCATTCCCTTCTCACTGCTACCTTGTCCCTCGATCCAGGTGTCGGTGGTAGACCCCGACGAGGGTGACAACGGTCAAGTCAGCCTCTCCATGCAGGTGGGGATGCCGCGCCTGGACTTTGTCATCAACAGTACATCAGGCGTGGTAGTCTCCACGGCAACGCTGGACCGCGAGCGCACAGCCCAGTACTTTCTGCGTGTGGTGGTGGCGGATGCAGGCCAGTTCCCCCGCAGCTCCACCAGCACTCTAACCATCACAGGTACGCAGGGTGGGGTGTGATCACTGCACAAAGACAGTGTAAGACAGTAAGGACAAAATGACACACTGAAGTGTTTCAAGCATTTCTTTCCAATTCTGTGACATCAGGAGAGTGATATAACTGTCACAGATGTCGGAAGGGCAAGCCAGGGAATGACAAGGAGAGCAGTAGAGACCCTATGCGTAGCGGCAAATGGGGCAACACGGAGGTTAGCCCAGGCTCAGGGGGTCAGACAATGTCGGTATAGAAACCTATGCCCTCAGGCCACAGACATGGGGCAACCTGGTAATAGGCCGGTCTCAGGACATCCGTACCCACAGTGCTGAGCCAGGAGCAGAGCAGACACAGGAAGTAAAAAGGCAACACAACAAGACACACTGGAAAGATATGAATAATCACAGGGATCTAGGAACAGGACAGAAGAGCAGCGCTATCTAGGTGTACAGGACGTGACAATAACAAGTATGAATGTGGTAACCTCTCTTGGGAATTTTTACAAGGATGCCCTTTTCCCTATGTGGTCCACATTGGTCTCTGTATTAAAGTTGAATCTATAAAACGTGCTTTTTTCCTGTATGTTTCCTCCCTATTTTACTTTGATTTTGCTTTACTTACAATGGTTTTACCTCTAGTGCCAGGTTTTGTGACACATAACACTCATGAAGGTTGTGATACTACACTTAATAAGTGATCATCAGGTAAAGCAATTCTGTGATTTTAATCCAATGTAGCAACATGCAGTAAAAGTAGTGAACGATTATAAAATTGACATGAGAACATATAACGTTGTTTCAAATATATACCAAAACCAAGATAAAAGTGCAGCAAATTTCCTGGAGAAATCTTTCACCTAGAGGCGCCTGCTGGCTGGATATACAGTACCTATAAACATGGCACACCTAAGATGGAAGAGGCCATTAAACTGCAATCTACAGCTGTCCTGCAGTGCAAAACGTACAAAACAATGAGTGCACAAAGAAAAAAAAAATACACAAAAAAATACACAACAGTTCTCACTATACAAAGGTTCTCACAATGGACGTGGCATCTGTTGTAAGGTGAGAGGGCAGTGCTGTGTGAAGTGCATGAGACGTTTTTGTGAATTTTAGAAAACCTTAAAAAAACGGCACGACAGTAGAATGTTCTGTCTGTTTTGTGGAGGGCAGCTTGGTGAGAACCATTTGTTTTGCTCAAACTGAGGTCAAAGCAATATGCTATCAAGTGCCCCAGCCTTTCCAGAGCTATGTTTATATGACAAGCTCATACCTGTATATATGGCTTCTTATGTGAGTTTCACAATCTAGAACCTTTAGTATTTTAATTTAGAAATTTTAAAAAGGACTTTCTTACTACTTTTGAAATTATTTACTTATAAATATTTATATTATCCTTTAATATGGCTCAGATATGTTATGCTTTACCTCACATTGGTCTGTAGCCCCCACTCTAATGTTACAGCAGATGGTATGTGCATTGTGAGAACCTATTTCCATTTTTATGTGTGCACTCTTTTTTGTTTGTGTACTTATTTTTGTGTTTTGTAGATTTTTTGTTCAGTATGTTTTGCTTGTGTTTTGTCATTTTTTTTGTTTGTGCACTCATTTCTGTTTTTTTGTCTTGCACTTCTGTTGCAACCACAGACAACTGTAAGACATTTTCATTCTTTTTCATCTCTGCCACACACATCTGAACAAGAGCTATTAAGCCCTAATGTTCCAACATCACACAGATACATTGAAACCCACTGCACAGTTTTTTTAACCATCCTGAAGACCAGAGTAACTCTTATAATTTTATCTGTGTCATTTTCTTCTTACCAAGCTGGATTGTGTTTTATAAGCATGACCCCAGTCTGCAGGCCCCTTAGGGTACTTCTATCATTAGTACAAAGTGTCTGCCTTCAGTACAAAAGTATATCAGCTCTAGTTACAGCCAAAGTATGAGGTCATTTATGCTGATTCTGACTTTTTCGCCTAAATTTCCTGAAGCTGTACTTGTTAGTTGTTTGAAAAACTCTAATACTAATGCTGTCATGTAATACATCCTTTAGAACGTGGTATGATAAAGCAGCAATTGCAGTGTACTGTATATTTCTGTGTAAAAGGCTGAGCTGAAGCATTTCTGTCTTCTGCCACCATCTAGTGGTTCAATACTGTAAAGCAGCTTAAACTCAGAAATATGATTGTTATTTGAAATATGGCTTGAAGAAATTCCTTTGGGTTATGTGTGTATTGTGTCAAATGATTGACACAATACATGCATAACCCTTTGCGTTCATCCCAGGGTCGCTGAGAGGAATTTAATTTGGCCAGTCCTTGAAACAGTGGTGACTCTGAACAGATGCTCTTCATTTGATTCTATTAACACAGTAGATCTCCTGCATGTTGGTCTTGTGCTCTCTTTCTCATTTGGTTCCCCATGTTTTCAGTGCTGGACATGAACGATGAGACTCCCACCTTCTTCCCATCTGTGTACAATATCACCCTGCTGGAGAATGTGGCACGGGATTACATGGTCACCAGGTTGAGCTGTACAGATAATGACACTGGACTGAATGCTGAGCTCAGCTACTTCATTACAGGTCTGGATACTGATTGCCCAGCATGGAACATCTGTACTAACTGACTGCCAGCACAGACACTGCATGGCAAAGGACTCCTGTGCAAACTCATCGTCACACTGTCCATATTGCCTCACTGACTCAACTCTATACTGTCACATAAACTCCACAACCCATACTGGCTCACTACCTGTACTGGCGTACTGACACCACACTTCATACTGTCACACCACCTCCAAGAACAGACTTTACTGCCTCACTGACTCCACTGCCCATACTGCCTCACTGACTCAATAGTTCATACTGTCACACCACCTTCAAGAGCAGACTGTATTGCCTCACTGACTCCACTGCCCGTACTGCCTCACTGACTCCACAGTTCATTCTATCACACCACTTCCAAGAGCAGACTGTAC